GGATAGGAAAGGTAGCAGAATACAACAGTTACTAATAGGGCATCATGTAAAATTGTGGATGTGTAACCGACGTGATTCTGCAATCTACATTTGGGGTAAAAATTTGGAGTTCATAACCCACTTGAATCTAATGTATGAAATATGATATGTCAAGAGCTGTGTAATGTTGTGAACAACCAATAAAAAAATACTTGTTTTCCAGAAAGACATCAATGTTTAAAATTAACAGCTGCTGAATTAGCTTGGGCATATCACACAAACAGACATGCATAATTGTATTGCTCTGTGATTGCTCTAAAAAACTGAGTAAAGTTACATTTTCTGATTCAGAAGGGTTGCAATTAAAAAATCCTGTGGGTGAACAATGGGAAATTTTGATAACAGATGTATTGGCCCTTTACTGTGTAGAGCTGATTTTGTCACATCTCACCACCAATCATACTTTCTACAGTGTATCCATTTTAAGTGATGCACTTATCTAGATCACATTGTTGGAATAATGAGGCATTCCAAGAGGGCTTTACTTATTTTTAAAAAGCAATTATGTATTTATTTTTGGGGTACTGGGGTTTAACCCAGGGATGATATATCACCTAGCTACACCCCTAACCTTTTTTTAAAAATTTTGAGACAGGGTCTTGCTAAATTGCCAGGCTGGGTTCCCACCTGTGATCTTCCTGCCTCAGCCTCCTGAGTAGCTGGGATTATAGGAGAGGGCCAAGGGGCCTGGGGAGGATTTTATTTTTATTCTGAAAAGAGAAAGTGTTGAAAGAGAAAGGGAGTCTGAGGAGTGGGGGAGATGGCTGAGATAAGGATGGGCATAGAAGGCAATGGAAAGGACAACTGGGAGAACTCAAAGTCAAACTTGAGAATACCACTTCCTCCACACTCCAGTGTCTTGCCATCAACTCTCCCACGAATCTCCAGGGATCCTATTAACTCCCTAGGACCAACAGACTTCTCTTGAGTTAAATACTGTCGCATTACTTCCCTGAAATACTTTCACGTGCAAGGAATAGATTCAATAAATTTCACAAGATTTAATATGTATATTAGCTTCCCTTCTTTCTTTCCTTCCTGAAATTTTGCTGTTAGTCCAGCCCAACAGAATCCTAGAGCTGCTTGGGCTCCTAAAGGAAAAGCTTCTTCAAATCCCTTAAGGACTGCTGATAAGAGGGTTGGAGTTACTACATCCAGCCGAGAAGGCTGAATTGGAGTGAGATATGAGTGTTCATTGGGAAGCACAATTTCAAATGAATTTAAGGTTTATTCCTGGGAACGGATTATTCTGGACTAGAAAAGTTTTAAAGTGCTTTCCAGCTCTGGGATTCTTACTAGTCCTCCTAGATATTTAAACCCAGCCATTTCGGGCCTGAAGTGTTAAACCAGAATCTTGATCTCCCAAACACATTTTATGACCCCATAGATGATGTAATGAAATCAAATTTGGGTTCTGACTTTAGACATCTTAATCACTTCGCCTCTTGAACTTTAGCTTCTTCCACTGAAAATGGGGGCAATCTGCTTGCTAGTGCATAAAACCCTTGGGTTTGCTAAAGGTCCCACAAACGTCCCTCGAATGATGAATGATGAATGACCTTCTCTGTTACTCTGTCTCACCTTCTGGGATCTTTCCTGCACCCAGACAAGCTCCCTGSGAGTGCCTGCCAGTCCCGCAGGAGACAGCCTGCTTCAGCCGGAGATTCCYGGCCTGGGATGAAGCACCAAAGAGTACCAAATAGGCGGGACCGGGCGCCTGGGGCTGGGCTGCACCGGGTTCAGTCGAGAGAGGGCGGGACGCAGCGCGTGCGCACAGCAGGGAAGGCGGTGCCCGGAAGGAGCTGCTTGGCTCCGCGTGAAGGCAGTTCGCGGGTAGAAAGGTGCTGGTGTGGAGACCGCTTCCGGACTCCAGGTATGGCTCTTGCCAGCGTCCGGTCCCCTCCTTATCTCACGGGGAGGGTTCAGGCTGCAGCTCTACTGTGCATCCCACAGTCGAGATTTACCTGCCCTGGATTTTCTTGTAAAGGCACAGAAATAAAAGGGCCTTTGCTGAGCGCTCCTCGACCTTTCCAATCCCTACAGCAAACAAGGATGCAGAGGACCTGGGATGGGGTAGGGAGGGACTTTGGGAGGATTGTGCAAAGGGTGGAGTCTGCCCTCTCAGCGACTTTTTTTTTTTTTAACTCCTTCTGGGAATTTTCTGAATTACTGCCTTCCTGCGGCCCTAAATCTTCCACCCATACTGCCTTCTACCCTTCTGGAGCTGAGCTGTTGGTTAAGGTGGTGGGATGAATTCATGGACTATTGCAAAATCGCTTGATAGGATTTTAACCTTCCCAGCACCACCCAGATTTCACTCGAAAATGTCAAGTCCAAGGAGCACAAGGATAGGTAACTGTTATATTCTTAGCATGCGAAAATGCTTTGTGTATTAATTTACAGAAGATCTCTTAGTTTTCCAAATTTTGGAGGACTTGGCGCTGGGAGCAAGGCATGGCCTTGTCACCTGGTTCTGTTCGCAGTGCAGTAAACCATTTTGCTGCATTGCACCCAACATGCTTTCTGGCTTTTTATAAGTCTTGAGGATCTACTTTAGGACAGGAGCATGTGAGGGTGTGATGGGCTGCCCTGCCCACACCTCATCTTTTTCAGGTTAACACAGCCTCTGGCTTTAATRTGTGCTTCTGGCCTGGCCACGTGGCCCTGCCGTGGCAGAGGAGCAAGAGGGGTGCTTATTGTTTGTACAGATTTTCTCTGTAACAACAACATTTCGTAGGATTAGGAATATTTATTTTGCCTCTTTAGAATAACAGTTCACTCAGTTTGATTCTTGGCAATATAGCTAGAGGTGGGGGTAGGGAACAGATGAACTACAGGTTATCCTCAGGTGGAAGCTGTTTATGTCCCATTAATTCATTCTTTACTTAGTACCTACCTTGTGCAGGGCAGTGTGCTTGGTGCTGTCAGAACAAAGAAGTGAATCTGGGTTTGTCCTCAAGGTGAGAAGAGAATACTGGCTCCCTGAGCCTGCAGAGGGTGTGTGGGCTAGGGAGAGAGGGAATGGAAAGAGGAGAAAGGATCCCAACCTAAGGAATTCTACACCAGGTAAAAGGGAATGTGTCCCCAAGAGAGAGTCATAGGAACTCCTGGGGGATGGAGCCTTTCATTGCTTGCTTGGCTTTAGGAGAAAAGTAAATCCTCCAATTACTACCTGATGATGAATGATCTCTCATAAGCTTCAGATCTGAACTAAAGGTATTTTCCTGACTCAGACAGAATATAAAAACAGGTCRCATTATTCTTGGCTACGTCCCTCCTCCCAGCCGCTCCAGCATTCTGTGTCTCAGGGAATCATTAAGGCCCTCCACCCCTACTTCTCCTGATGGTTTAAGCCAGAGACCTAGAGGCTGAGTCATCCTGACTCATCCCTGCCTCTCCCTCCCCATACCSTGGTCTCTTGATTCTACCTCCTTCACCTGTCTTAAGTTCATCTGTCTCCCTCTACCTTTTTGTCATTTCTTTAGGCCAGGTTACCATCGTCAACTAAGTTCTTGCTTAGTTTACTGCAACTATCTCCCAGCCTCACTTTAATTCATCTTTCACTATCGCAGCCAGGATGCTGTTGCTGGTGTTTAAATCTGGTTGTGAGACTCACTTCATTCATCTCACTATCCTTAGGACAGAAGCCAAATTCCCTCTGCAGGGCTTACTTGAGGGTCCTGTTTCTCACCAGGCCCTCTCTTTTCACGGCCCCTATGCACTTCCTTTTATTTTGAGATCTTTGTCATGCTTTTTTACATCAGGAAACTTTCACACATTTTCCTTCTTCTGCCTGGATCCCTCTTTCTTCAGCTTCATCCTGATCTCCCCAGGGTACCAGCAACCTGTAGGCATCCTTCTCCCCGTGTCAGATGCCTGCCCCTTAAGGATCACTTAGCATCTCCCTCCTCTTGCTGTGCTATTCTGTGGGTCCTGAAGGACCAATTCCATGTCTTTAAGATAGGAAGCCAAGCAGGAGATTGATCCATAATCGAAAATTCTGAAGCACATCAGCTTTGTTTGCATGCTCAGCCAGCTAACTTAGTTCTCAGAGGTGTTGCATAGTGTTTAGAAGAAGTGAGACTTACTTGAATGTGAAATCTTGGCTCTGCTCTGTGACCTTCTGGGATTGTTTGCCTTTTCTGTGCCTCACTTAGTTTCCTCATCTGGAAAATGGGGATAATAATGTAACATTCAACCATAGGTTTGTGGTGGTGATTACATGAGATGATACATCTGAGACCTCAGAATGGTGCAATTACATGGTAATCGCTCACAAACATTGTTAATCTCAGTATTATTATTACTAGTTTAACCATCATTCAGTCAACAAAGGGTTTTGAACCCAGGGCCTTCCTACCTGTCACATCCTACTGCACCACCTCCTGGGCACAGATGAGGGTCTTTTTGTAGGTGTTGAGGGCTTTTTAGTGCCATCATTTGCTCCTGTGTCCCTCTGGCAGACCCTCCCTCATAGTAATTTTGATTGGCTCTTTGAGATAAGTGCAACAATTCTTTTCTTTTTCTTTTTTTGTTTTTCTTTTTGTTATTTATGTATGATAGCAGAACACATTACAATTCTTATTACACATATAGAGCACAATTTTTCTTATCTCTGGTTGTAACAAAGTATGTTCACACCAATTCGTGTCTTCATACATGTTCTTTGGATAATAATCACATTCCAACATCCTTGTTAATCCCCTGCCCTCTCCCTTCCCCTCCCACCCCTCTGCCCTATCTAGAGTTCCTCTATTCCTCCCATGCTCCCTCTCCCTATCCCATTATGAATCAGCCACCTTATATCAAAGAAAACATTTGGCATTTGTTTTTTTGGGATTGGCTAACTTCACTTAGCATTATCTTCTTTAACTCCATCCATTTACCTGCAAGTGCCATGATTTTATTCTCTTTTATTGCTGAGTAATATTCTATTGTGTATATATGCCACATTTTTTATCCATTCATCTATTAAAGGGCATCAAGGTTGGTTCCATAGTTTAGCTATTATGAATTGTGCTGCTATAAACATTGATGTGGCTGTGTCCCTGTAGTATGCTGTATTTAAGTTCTTTGGATATAGTCCGAGGAGAAGGATGTCTGGATTAAATGGTGGTTCCATTCCCAGTTTTCCAAGGAATCTCCATACTACTTTCCATATTGGCTGCAGTCCCACCAGCAATGTATGAGTGTGCCTTTTCCCCACATCCTCACCAACACTTATTGTTGTTTGTCTTCATAATAGCTGCCATTCTGACTGGAGTGAGATGGAATCTTAGAGTAGTTTTGATTTGCATTTCTCTAATTGCTAGAAATTAAGAATTTTTTTTATATATTCATTAATTGATTGTGTATCATCTTCTAAGAAGTGCAACACTTCTTTTCCATTCTTCTGAGTTAGTTTATTGTCAGTATAGGGAATAAAAGACTGGTTAACTTAAATGATGAGCAGTGAGAAAATTGAAAAAAATATATAAGAAATCCCATATATCATTCTCCTGTTTACAAAGGTAACTATTTTCCCTGTGGGAGAAATGTAGATATAAGAAAATTGAGATATAAAAGCGCCACCGGGATTCTTAGAATTCAAAAAGCAGAAGAACTTCAGAGCTCCTCTCATTTATTTCTCTCACTGGGAGGACTTGGAAGAAGGAAAGAGCATGGTTTTAGGACTGACTGCCAGCAAGTGACCAGAACCACATCTTTATCCTGTGGCCAGTGCACTTTCTACTACATCTTAAAGAATGTAGAAGCTGGGCACCAGTGTGCATACCTGTATTCCCAGAGACTTGGGAGACTGAGGCAGGAGGATCACAAGTTTGAGGCCAGCCTCAGCAACTTAGTGAGGCCCTAAGCAAATTAGGGAGACCCTTTCTCAAAAAATAAAAAAGGAGCTGGGGATGGGACTTAGTGGTTAAGCACCCTTGGGGTTCAATTCCCACTACCAAAAAAAAAAAAAAAATAGGGCAGTGTCCACAGGGATCTTCTCACCTTCTCACCCCGTGATATGCTTTGATCGTTGCTGTGATGCAGGATAAGATGTCACTGTCATGCAGTTAACTTTGTGCCAGCCCTTCACTTTCATTTATATTTTTTACTGATTTGTCATCACTCTGGTGTGGATGTCTCTGCCTCCCCAGAACTGTCTAGTGACAGAGCATATGTTTAAAGTGAAACTCTGGCTCAGTCTCCAAGCAGACACCCATGAGCTATATGCATGGGTGTCTTCCTTTTCTGTTCTACAGTATGGGGAGCATGGAAGGATGAATGTCTGCAAAATATGAAAGAATTATACGATGGAGTTTCAGAAGTCATTTAGAGGAAGAAGAAGCTAGAGTGATTAAGGGGATCTGGGTGAGTTAAGGGCAGAGGCGAGGAGAAGGTGCAGAAGCTGGTTGGGGTCCTGTAGGTGGAGGAGAGGGAGGATGTTATAGAAATGGAAGTAGGAAGTGTAGATTGTAGTGTTTCCATCCAGCGAGGAGACCCAGCTGGCAGAGCAGAAACCTTATTTGAGAAGTAGAAGGACCTAAATAGCTGAGGGTGCAGCTTGAAGACAGAAAGAGGAGAGTTAACCTGAGGTGCTCCCCCGCCCCCCCACCCGCCATGCCTGAGAATGAGGATAGCAGGACAGTGGTGTTGGGAGTGGCCTTGACCCTTCCTTTAGGGGACTATAGAAATTAATTTTTATGATTCTGTGGGGTGCCTTTCATTTTACTATTTATTTGTTCCCCCAGACTCTTTATTTTGTATCATTTGTTCCTTCCTCCTTTCTTTAGAATTGCAGCCTCACCAATGGACCTGATTGGTTTTGGTTATGCAGCCCTTGTGACGTTTGGAAGCATTTTAGGATATAAGCGGAGAGGTAAGCCAAAACATAAAATTTTCATCAAAGGAACTTACTGGGGAGTTGCTGAATGTGCTAGGATCATCTGAGGGTCTGTAAGTAGGACAAGAAGTTAATGATATCTTAGAAGGAGGTGAGGACCAGCATGTCATGGAAGAGATTCATGGAGGGAAGGGGTTTACATGGGACTGAGCATGACAGAGCATTCCAACGTGGGGCTTCTCCGGCATAAAAGTTTAATTTCACCTGCCATTATGAATTGCATAGTTAATTGATTTAACCTTCCTCAGAGCTTGCTTATTATTAAATAAGGCTTTTTGTGTTTTACATAATTATGTCAAAAACTGAGCTTTATTGGTATGTGTTGCAAAGGAAGAGATTTGTTAAATACCAAGGTAAAATACCCAAAGCCACCTCTTCATCTGTATCTAAAAGAGGGAGAAGAGCCTAGTTGATTACTTAAAGGGTTTTTATGGAGAAAAGTAAAAGGTCAAGATTTTATACTTTACTTTGTTCGAAGTAGATGCATGTGTAGTCATGGTATCACATGTTTGTTTCTTCTATTTTTAATGAGTTTTTAAAAATAAAGCGGTATTTCAAAGGGCATTACATCTGTGACATGGGTAAATTTGAATTTGAGTGAAAAAACCAGGTGTACATAGTTAGAAGTTAGGAACTTCCTTAGAGGTATCTCAGAAGCAACGGGCAGAACAGTTCTGTCTCATAGCAGAGCAACTGGCAGATTAGAATAGATTCCCTTCTAAGATTCCTTACAGATTGTAGTTCACCTTACATTTTTGTTTGTTGTTTTTCTCTGAGTATGTGTATTGTAGATATTTTTTGAAGGACAAACAATGATGCCACCMAAGTAATACCTGCAAATAATTTCTTAAGGGCTGATATTTTATGATCTACTTCAAAGAGGACTCAGTGTAAAACCCTGATCAGATTGTTACTGAAGAAAGAATTTTTCTTGTCAAAGACATATCTAAAAACTTATATAACAGAAAAGAACACCTAAACAGTATTTTTTTTTATGCTACCAGTGATTGAACCCAGGGGCACTTAACCACTCATCCTTCCAAGTCGCTGGGATTAGAGGTGTGCACCGCTGTGCTAGGCTTAAATGTTTTTGCTTGCCTTTTTTAGGGATGTAAAGAATTTGTGTGTGTGTGTGTGTGTGCACATGCGTGTGCACGCTCATGCGCAAGCACATATGCTTATGTTTGCATTTCCTGCAGTGGTTCTTATGCCTGGCTACATATCTGAATTCCCTGTGAATATTTAAAAAAATAGAAATACCAGTCTTACCCTCATGGATTCTAATCCAGTAGATTCTAAATGAAAACAAGTTCTGTGAAGCAAGGATTSTGTGTGCTTTGATCACAGTGTCACYCTTGATCACAGTGTCACCAGCATATAGCTCCCTGTCTAGTGCACAGAAGTGCTCAGTGTTTATCATGGTGTCCTGGGCTGGGTGGATAGGCTGCGGACTGGCTTGTTGGGTCAGTGCCCTGTATCTTCGACTTTCTTGGTATAGTCTCCTCTGGCGCCTTAGGGCTTGATGATTTGTTAATTATTCAGGAAAAAACCATTGCTTGGCTTGCACAGACCTTCTGTCTTTACCTCTGTGAGCTAAAAATACCTTTGGGCCTCATTTTCCATCATCACAATTTCATAGTAAAAATGTAGATCCAAGAGAAAAAGCCGGGAGGAAAGAGTTCATAAAAGTGAACTGATTGCCCAAGATCATACAATCAAGTCAGCACAACTACTACAATACAACAATACAAGCTTTTTTTTTWATTCCTCCCAGTGACACCTGACCCCTGCATTGCCCTGTGTTTAGAGTTCCTCTGCCTTATGTTTTGGGGTTCAACATCAAACAGTTGTTTCTTAGAAACCATCYCTGAAGAGACCTGTACTTAATTTGGCTCTGTCACGATGCTCGAGTAGGAATATGTTCAAAGGTGCCTGTGTTGCACTTGAAGTGATGAATGAATTCCTTTCACTTTGAGATTCTCTTTGTGAGTCCATACTTTTCTCCCCAGGTGGTGTTCCATCTTTGATTGCTGGTCTTTTTGTTGGATTTTTGGCGGCCTATGGAGCTTACCGTGTCTCCATGGACAAACGAGATGTTAAAATATCACTATGTAAGTAAGGCACTCCCCCGCCCCAGTTACAGACCATGAGACCTTGGAGCGGCCTTCTTGATACCCTGTACCAGGTTGACTAGAAAATATGTTGTCAAATGTTAAGTGGCCATGCACTTGGGTGGAGACTGAACACAACCCTTGTTCCTTTCTGATAAAAAATGGTACTGCCACAATGCCTTCCAACTCAAATTTCTCTAAAACTTGTTATAAGAAAAATGAAATTAGAAAAAGCAAGGAACCATTTCTAGATTTTCTGCTAATTCTCCTATGTATAAATTAAACATGGTTGTTATATTGCTGTGAAAATATCTAAAAAGAGACAACCTATTTTATTTAATCCACAAACAGCTTTTAGATTATGTCCTGCCTTGAGAAAGCAAGACTGACCCCTTCTTAGCTTCTTCCTTTGTGGGCTTTAGTGAGAGAGTGTCCACAGAAAAAAATGGAAACCTATATGTTTAAGCCCTCAGAGTACTCGGCTTTCTTTTGTCTAGCTTGAAAGAGAAATACAGCAAAGGTTTAGAAAACTACACCACGAAAATTGTCTTTATTTGATTTATTCAAAATGCCATGGTGAGATATGGAGGAAAATATAAATAAAAACAAAATTTTATTTTGTTTATATTTGGGGAAGAGAAAGAGATTAGGTGTGTTTTTCTTCCCTTATTTTAAATACAAGAGTAGGGATATTTCTAATAATGAAGATTGTTTCAGAGCTGAACCTATTCAGCAGGGTATAGATATGTTGAGCCTTTTATTCATATATACTTAAGTAGGGTTTTAGTCAGCTTTTTCACTGCTGTGACTAAAAGACCAAACCAGTAAAATTGTATGGGAGGAAACGTTTGTTAGAGGGCTCACAGTTTCAGAGGTTTTAGTCCATAGAAGGTCGGTTCCATTTCTGGGGGCTCGAGGTTAAGCAGGATATCATGACAGAAGAGTGTGGCAGAGGGAGGCAGCTCGAATGATGATCATGAAACAGAGAAAGAGAGACTCCACTTGCCAGATACAAATATAAACCCCCCAAATCACACCCCAATTTCCACCTTCTGAGACCACGCCCTACCCCTTCAGTTACCACTCAGTTAATCCCTATTAGGGAATTAAATTATGATTGGGTTAAGAGACTCACAATTCATTCATTTCTCCTCTGAGCATTTGGGGGATACCTCACATCCAAACTATAACAAATAGTTCCTATGTTTGTTATCAATCATATTTTGCATCAATATGTATTTTATATGAATACATATTTCAATTTTATGTCAACAGCTTTGAAACTGTTTTTAAGTTGTAATAGTGACACCCTGAAGTCTCACACAGAAACATCACTCTCTCCTGTGGGTTCAGCTCCTGACCTGATGATTCTGAATATAAGGTTGTGACTTAGTCTCCAGCCATTTAATCTCCCAAAATAGAATGCTATCAAGAAAACAGTTTGCCTTCTAGTATTAGTTTATAATCAGATCTTTTAAAAGAAACACTTGTATTATTTTCCTTACTAAGTTAACCAGCATTTATTGAGTGACTCCCTGTGGGAACCTTGTGTAGTTCTTGCCTTTGAGGAGTGTCCTGTGAAGAGAAATTTAGGTAGAAAAAGAATCTTTGGAAGATATTTCAGGAATGGACCTTAATATGTTTGTTTACTCAAAAATTTTAATAGACTAATTAAAATTTTAATAGACTAATTAATGATTAATAAAGCATTTTAACAGAGCCCTTTATTTTTTCAAGAAATAGCAACTCAGTGCCTGTACATAATAGTTATTATATGGAAAGCTTTGAAACAATATCCTATTTATTTATTTATTTATTTATTTATTTTTCTGCAGGCAAGCACTGATAACATGTTTGATACTCTGGTTCATGGATTGATTTTGGTTTTCAGTTACAGCTTTCTTCCTGGCCACAATAATGGGTGTGAGATTTAAGCGTTCTAAGAAAATAATGCCCGCTGGGCTGGTTGCAGGTTTAAGGTAAGAACTATTGAGATTTATACTTTCCTCTGCCATCATTTTGAAGGGCTGATTTTTGTTCAAAAGTCAATTTTAATTTGAAAGGTGAAAATAGTTTCTATTATAATAAGCATGATTGTAAAAACTATAAACCGTAGTGGATTCAGTCAGTGTTTGGCACTGATGTGTTCATAGTCATTCTTCCCAGAAACAATTAGTGTCACTGTTATCTGATCACATGTACACAGTTACCTTTTTCATAATTCAGAGCTAAATTCAGCCTTGTTTCCCCACAAGATTCATCCACCTAAAGCAGTAAATTTCTTATTTACGTCTCTTTTAGAGAGTTAGACAGTAATAATCTCGTGTAATTATTTTGAGTTTTTTGAAGGGAGATAAATTTTAGTATTTTTTAAAAAGATAGGTAGGGGGTCTCCAATTTTTGTCAATTTGATCTGGTAATTTTGTCCATGAGATTATCCATGTTACCAAATAAAAATTTAGAGATGATATATATTTTCATTCTTCCTAGCTGACTTTTAAGTGTTAAAATCCGGGGCTGGGGATGTGGCTCAAGTGGTAGCGTGCTTGCCTGGCATGCGTGCGGCCCGGGTTCGATCCTCAGCACCACATACCAACAAAGATGTTGTGTCTGCCGAGAACTAAAAAATAAATATTAAAAAAAATTCTCTCTCTCTCTCTCTCTCTCTTTAAAAAAAAAAAAAGTGTTAAAATCCATCAGTAAGTCAGTTCCCTTTGACATGTATTTTCACTGTTTGGAATTTATTTAAAAGAAGTGAGATGTACACAAAGATTGAGCCTTCATTGAGACTTTATTTCTAATGGAAAACATGTTAAACTGAAAAATTAGGAACTGCCTAGAAATTCACCAGTAAGGAAATATTCCAATAAGTATTTTGCCCACGTAATGGAATATTGAGTAGGCATTTGTACATCATGTTTTCAAAACCTGTTTAATAGCATTAGAAAATCTTGATGACATAATAAAGTATAAAAATAAAATCAAAATCCACGGAGCATAATTCGGAACCTATTGTTTTAAAATGTCTGTATGTAAACAAAGAAGATAAGAAGGAAACACCTCAGACTGTTAATAGAGTTTTTTCTGTGGGTAATAATAGCATAATAATAACTTCTATGTTTTTTTTTCCACTTTTGTATAGAATTTTCTAGTGTAGCTAGATGTTATGTTTCTAAGGAGGGGGAAAATTTGATTACAAAGGACTGCTTTTCAGTTATAATCCTGCTCTAAAAAGGATGCTCTGTGTTAGAATCAGAAGTAGGGTTTGCTGTCAAGAGGACAAGACCCAGTTAATGGCCATCTCCTTGATTATTTTTCTAAGTGGCTTTACKTGACTAGCTGTTGAAGGTTTTTGTTTTTTCCTAGACCTTTCTTTCACGAACCCTCATCCCAAGCTTTGGAACAGCAAGTTCTTATTTTTCTCATTCATTCAGTGAACATTTTTATTTCCTGTCTGAGAAGTTAGAACACACAGATGATGTGTTCGCCCTGTTCCAAGGAGTGGAGCTGGGAGAGAGTCCTGGAAGCCAAGGCTTAGTAACATGCCTGCATATAGCGTGTGATCCTTTCTATCTTATGCCAGGTAAGAATGACCTCCCTTTGCCTCTATCTTATTTTAATTCAGCCTCATGATGATCCTGAGACTTGTCTTACTGTTGCTGTGAGCATCCAGAAGAACCGAAAACTAAATTCCTGTCATTCTACTGTAATGGGCAGAGTATTCTTTGTACTTAAAAGATAAATTTCAATATAGAATGTCAAGTCTCTTATTTTATGTCAGAAGCAAAAGTTATACTGTCTCCTCTAAGATGAATAAAAGTTTAAGGTAGTTTTTTTTTTTCTTAGACAGCAAAAATTCAAACTGTTTCTATTTGTTAAGCGCTGTTTTCATTAAAGGTGTTTAATGAATCCCGATACGCTCTTTCACTTGCTGTAGCTATTTTTATATTTGTAATATTGTTTTTGACAGTTATAAATACTGATGACTCAAGGAAGTTTAAATTAAACTACAACTTATCCAATAAAGGAATTTCCTAAGTAGACTTCACAAAATACTAACTTAGATGTTTGTTACTTGTGCTGTATCAGAAATTTTATTTTTTTTTCCATTTTAATTGCATTTAATTGCTGCCAGTGTTATTTTTCCTTTAAAAGAATTCCATTCTAGGTATACTCTAACAGAATATATCAGTATTCAAATAAAATAATAAAAATGTTTTAAAAAGTTTCGTTGTTGTATTTTTCTCCCCTCAAATCACCACTTCAAATTTGGGCATAGTTAGAACTTCTAATGTCCAAGGCATCTGCCGATGACTAGTGTGTTCTTGGGAGGTTACTCCCTGTCTCTGGACTCAATTCCTCTTCCTCAAGGAAGACTTTAACTTAATGGTCAACAAGACCCCTCAGAGGTCTAAAAGCCTGTGATTTTAGTCCTATSGGTTTCCATACCCTTTGTTTAAGCGAGGGAGTGCAGAGTCTTCAGCCCTTAGCAGCAGAATAGATCTGGTTGTGCTAGGTTGGTTTCATTTGCCAGCTGATAGTGACAAGGAATTCAATTAAGAGGAAAAAAACCCAAACCCTATTGGTTGAACCCCAAAGGAAACTTAAACAAAGTCCTTGATATACTTTAAAAAAGAACCCCCCCMAAAAAATCCCATCAATTCTAATGATGCCAAAGAAATTATTAACCACAAGCAAGGCTGGAACATACTGTCATAACTGAGCTACTCTCCTTATTTGTCACCTGTCAAAGATGAAGGGAAGAGCCTGCAGGTTCAGACTGACAACAGCTTTTACTCAGCCTTTGATTATGACAGTGATATAGAAATTGATCATAGAAATATATGAAATACTGTGACATACTCAAGTGACAAAGTTTTAGGAAGTAATTGAAGCTGTACAGAGTCCTGGACTGTTCCCAAAAGATGGTAGAAGTGAATGATGGTGATACATGCCCTTCTTGCCGTTCGGTTTTTGGTTTTTAAAGAAATCCTTGATATCTGTTTGCTTACTTATGATTTCACCCTTTGCACATGGAAAATCCAGAAGAATTCTTTATTATTTTTTTTAAAGAATTCATATTTGGATCATTCTAAGTGGTGTCAGAATATTTAGGAAAAATAGAAAAGGAGTTTTCTAATTTGCAGGCAAGTTTTAGGGACTTTATTTCCTTATGCATTTATTACTTTTCTTTATTAACATATCTTTAGAATATTTTACTGGGCCTTCCTATAAATGAAGTGTGCAGTATGTCCTGAACCTCTTGAATTCAACCTCTTGAATTGCTAATACTCAGCTTCTATAGTGCTCATGTTTTTGAGAAACATGCCATTTTCAAATTTGAATATTTTCTTCACTTTCTTAATGGATTCTTCATCCAGTGGAGGCTTTCTCTGGCTTCCAGGCTGGAGAAATTTGTAAATTGTGGGGATGTGGCTGATTCTGACCTTGAATTCCTACAATATAAAATGTCAAGATTCATGAGAGAAGAATATAGTACAATAAACAAAGTAAAATTCTGCTGACTTGTAAGGAGAAGTCCTCAGTTTTCCTATGCCATAAACATTTTTCATGTTCTTACATGATCTTTGAAAACATCATTTTAAGTAGCTGCACAAAATTCTATCCAGCTGATGTATCTCATTTATGTAGATATTTTTTCAGGTATTGGACATTTAAGTTGTTTGTGATTTTCATTAAGCACAATAAATGGAATATTATGTATTGGAAATTTCAAAAAACATTCAACAGATAAAATTGTGTACAAGTGAGGTAGACTAAATAACAATAGTAAAACATGGTTATAAAGTAATATGAAGTGGAAAATTGAGGCTGCAGAATTGTCATTAACTCATGTTACAAATATTTTAATTTTTGTGTGTGTGAATTTGGTGCTAGGGATTAAACCCAGAGCCTTGCATATGCTAGATAAGCACTCTACCAACTGAGCTACATCCCCAGCCCTCATGTTACCTAGCAATGTTTGAAATATTTTAAAGATTATAAAGGAAGCCACTAATGTAGCAAAATCTTTAGAACTTGGGTCATGGAATCAGACAGACTGAGGTTTGCGTATAAGTCCCAAAACCCAAGTTATTTATGTGCAAGTATGTGCAAGTTATTTAACCTCTGAGTCTCATTTCCTGTCTATCTTGAGGATGGAATAAAATAACTGAGGTAGGGGCTGGGGATGTGGCTCAAGCGGTAACGCACTCGCTGGCATGCGTGGGGCACTGGGTTCGATCCTCAGCACCACATAAAAATAAATAAATAAATAAAGATGTTGTGTCCACCGAAAACTGAAAAATAAACATTAAAAAGTCTCTCTCTCTCTCTCTTAAAAAAGATAAATAAAATAACTGAGGTAAAGTGCATTTGATTCTTGGTTCGATGCATGACATGAAGAAGCTTCATCAATGGTTATGTGGTTGTTGTTGAGTAATGTCTGTGCTGGGATGATATTATATATATATATTTTTTGATCCAGGGATTGAACTCAGGGGCACTTGATCACTGAGCCACATCCCCAGCCCTATTTTGTATTTTATTAGAGACAGGTCTCACTGAGTTGCTTAGCACCTCGCTTTTTACTGAGGCTGGCTTTGAACTTGTGATCCTCTTGCCTCAGCCTCCCTAGCTGCTGGGATTATAGGCATGCACCACTGCACCCGGCTATGATATTATCTTATGTTTTTCTTCTTACTTCATCTAGAAAATTAAGCAACTTTTATTGAGGCTCTACTCTGAGGCTTCAGCCCTGCAAGAAGCCTGCCTCAAATCTCTGTGCTGGTGCAAGTGACCCTTGTCTGCTTTCCCATATTTTATTTTTTAATTTATCACATTGTATAGAAGATACCTGTCTGTGTGTCTGTCTCCCTGACTAGGTATGTTTTTGGAGGGCATCTTTATATTTCTAGTACAGGCCTTGGCATAAAGAAGTTAGAACGTTCTTGAGTGAATGACAATAAAAAAAGGAATGATGCATATTCATTCTCTCTGAAATTCTTGGGGACTCTGGATAGCATTACCTGTAGCAGAGGGAAGTCTGAGAGGACACTGGGTTTGCACTCTTCAGCCATTAAGATGACTTCAAGGAGCTGTATATCAGCCCAGCTCAGCTGACTCCCCACAAGGAAATCTTTCCCAGGGTCTCTTAGTGCCTGCATGATAGTTGAGAAGAAGGTAAAGGACTAAGGGCACACCTCACATGTAAATTAGTGATCTAGTCTTCTAGAAAAGTCTTCTAGAAAGTGTTCTAGAAGTTAAGAGACCTGGTTTCTAATCTGTTCTCTGCCCCCTGGGCAGCTGTATGAGCTTGAGCCAACCCCGTCTCTTGGAGCTTCAGTTCACCTGAAAGAGGTGGAGCAACTCCAATCCCCCTGACCTGACCACAGGAAACGGCTTGCTCCCGTGACCTACCCTGTGAACCTCTATGAATGGTTTTAGTGCAGCACCTGGCTTGGTGGCTTTTCCAGGTCTGAGTGTGCCCTGCCTCTGAGCAGATTCCTTAGTTATGCTGCTTCTGGAGGGGACTTTGTTTTCAGGGAGTTTTTACAAGTGAGTTTTCTTGTAATAGAACTGTAATTTATGAGTCACTTTGAGTTAAAATTGATAGAATACAAAATGAAAAATTAGATAGTAAAGTATATGCTAGCTCCCCAACTTTATGATCTTATGGCGCATGGACATGTGATCAGAATTTAGAGACTTGAGTGCAAGTGTCAGCTTTGTTAGTTGTATGACATTGGGCAAGTTACTTTCAGCTGTTGTTGCCTCATCTGTAAAAGGGACAATCATTGCACCTCTTTATGGACTAAGATTAAAAGGGCAAATATGCCAAATACATAGCACAGTACTTATCATTCTGTGGAGGTGACAATGACATCATCATGATTAATACTGCAGTTAGTGATATTGTCATTGTCACTATCTTCAGCCATGAGAGAAGTGTCTTTACTTTATGATACTGTATGACAAAAACTTCAGTCATTAGGAAGAGTGGTGTCAGACATCCTTTCATTGCCAATATTTATAAAATTATAGGGTAAAAATTTCTTAAATTATGTGCCGATTACAAGTTAGTATATTATCTTATATATTTATGAAGGAAATGATACAGAGAAAATGCAAGGTATAGAATATTTACAGTTTGATACAACTTAGAACAAAGAGACCGAAAATTCACAGAATGTGATTAAGAGAAAAAAAGTGTGGTTTGGGAAGTTAGGCTACCTGTAATCTATGCTAAATACCTAAGTATTAATTAAATAGTCTGATTACACGATTTGATGGTGATAAATACATTTAAATATATGTACTACGTCATTCTTTTAGAACTATTGTTCCTGAGCCCAGAAAGGGTGGACTAAACCAGCATTGGCAGTAGATTTGGAAAACTCATCTGGATCATTTATTTTTTTACCAAAACCATGACATTTTTAATGATTCTTTCCGACACTTACTAATATCATAATGAGTGTTCCTAGAGGTAAGAGTGTAGATAGCTAAAGAAGGTCCTAACCCTGGTGTTAGCAATGCAGTCTAGGTGTTTGCTTAAGGCACAAGCTTTTCAGACATAATTTTATAAATGCTAAAAGTTTAGAGACACAAGAAACAAAGAGTTATTTTGAAAACATTTTTTAAAGTTTTAGACTGTTGCATAGGATTCAGCTAACTTGATAAACTTCCCTGAACCCTAGTATTAGCCAGTGCATTTTAGAAATAATATTATCCTTCCCAACAACTCTTTAATTAGTGTGCGACTCTGATTTCCACCCCAAGTCCTGTTTTAAAGCTTTATTTTACTCCAGAATTAAATCAGGTAACTGAAATTCTGTCAGCACCAGAACCACAAATGGTTCTGAAGTTATGCATGAAATCCTTAAAAAATAAAACAAAATTCAGAAGAGCCTAGTGGGAGGAAGGCAGATTTGTTTTATAACTGCAAGTGAGGGAAGAATTTTGAGTTTTTACAGAGGGTTTGGCCATCCTTCATCCACCATAAAATTCTTTATTTACATTTAGTTTAGTTCATTTTTCTTCTCCTTGATCCAAGTCATCAAGCAAAACATAAGTCTGTCACTTACCTTCTCATAGACAGGGAAGAATCTCATAGTGGCTCGCTGGAGAATATACTCAAGATTCATTTCCTTCTCTTCAGGCAGAGATAGTGGAAAGTACATAATCATGTCACTCAGGTCCCTCAAGCCTTCTACATACATGTCAATCCTATAGGAAGGGTGATAGTTCCAAAAATGATTAAATATATGCATTTAAATATATTTAACATGGCTGAATCATATAATACAAATTATTTAATTAACAGTTATTTAGCATAGGTCATAGGTACCCTAACTTTCCAGGTCGTGTTTTTCCAGAAGAAGGGAATATCATGTTATGGACCAAAGAAACATTTAAAGTAGTGCCTCAGTTTCATCTTCTTGACTACCAGGGGCCCTCCTGGAATATTGTTTTGTGAGCTAACACCAAGCATAATAATGGAATGCTGTTCCTTTGGGATATTAAGAGCTCAATCTGGAAGATAGGAATAATTATAGAACTCAAATATCTAGGCAGGTGTGTGTGTGTGTGTGTGTGTGTGTGTGTGTGTGTGTGAGAGACGTCAATTATGTAACACTAATGTTAATCTCTCACACACATAGACATACTCACACAAAGTATTAAAAGGATGCCATAATAATAAACTGGTCAAAGATTGTATTTGGTTATTTGAATGTAATAATAGTGTGATCACCATGTTAGTACATGTGATACATGTGGAGGAAGAGGTAACTACAGACCTCTGTCCGGCCCCAAACCTCTCCATCTGTATCAGAAGTTCTCAAACACAGACAGTAGAGCAATTTAACAGAGCACAAAACTTGCTCTGCAAGTTCCCACTTGCCTCCACCTTCATTTCCATGCCTGAATGGAAGGAAAGATGGCCTTATGTCTGTCAAGGAACCAAGGCATAGTGAGAATACTCCTGGTGTGGGTATTGGAAAAATCTCTGTCCAAGGGGAGTTTCCTAATCTTTGTGAAACATGGGCCTTTTAGCTTTAACCCAGAATAGTAATGTGTGTCTTGAAAATGGTCTCAAATTCTTTGCTCCTCCTGCCATTGGATTAAGTCTCATTCTCCCCTTGGATATGAATGGGCTTTGGGCACTTTCTAGACCAGTGTAGGGAAGTAATGTTCTTGGATTTCCATGGGTAGGCCATAAGAATCCTTCCAAATCCCACCTGGTTCTCTTATCAATTGCTCTAAGGGCAGCCAGCCTCTATTTAAGAAGTCTAACTACTCTGAGAACCTCCTGCTGTACACTGAAGCTGGCCACATGGAGAAGGTATATGGGGGAGAGAGAGGTGCCTGATGTTGTCCACATGTTCCAGGTCTCCCAACCCAGATGCCAGACATGAGTGAAGTGCTTCATGAGAGACTCAGCTGAGCCCTGTCAGCTTAGAACTGTGGGAGAGTATGTGGCAGCAATGGATTAATATTAGAGAACCATTAAGCCTTAGAGATGTTGTGGGACTGTGTAGTTGGTTAAAGGAGTTTTAAAATATAAACACATACGAGACTTTATCATAGTGACAAACCAATTAAAGTATGTATAAGTAAATCATTGATTCATTTTCAATTTACAAACATGAGTTCTAGAAATTAACTACTTTAAAACTATTTTACATTAAAAAGAACCACAGCTCCTTAGAGAAATGACTGAGTCCAGGCCTGAAGCAAGAGATAAATAGGACTGATCTGGATCAACACATTATACCAGAAAATAAATAAGTTATCAGAGCCACTAGGGTAAGGTAAAAAAATTCCAGGAGCCACTTGGATCCCATTGACCAAAGGCAGAACAATTTGAGCATATAACAACGGAAATAAATTGAAACATATTAAAGATGTGCAGATTGATTCGTTCAGATGCATAAAGAATAACAACAAGCAATAGGTCACTTTTGGAGGATGCATGTGAACCAATTCATTATTTGGAAAACTGGTCAACAAGGAGAAAGAACCAAGCATCAATCCTGTCTTCTGTCTTCTCTATAGGAAAATGTACCTCCAAGTAACCAGGTAGTACGTGAGGGAGATTTTTTTTTATAGAAGTATTCCAGATAATAAATGTGGAAGGAATGATAGCACTGAAGCCTACAGCTACTAATATCATGACGGATAGATAAGTAGACGTTCTGCTTCTCAACACCCATGAAGTAGTCTTGCAAAACCCACTGGAACCTGTATCTAAAAAACCTGAGTCTGATAAACCCTCTAAATCCAACTAGCCCTTTATAAAAATAGAGACAAAGGATCATGTTAAACTACACTGCAGCAATGTAGTCGGCAGAATTTAGAAGGAACTACTAGAAAGCAAGAGAATGCTTATGGTTAAGACATAACACAGGGTCAATCTAAAAATTTGTATTGCATGAAAATTTTAAACTAAGTTTCTAAAAATACATTTTGAAATGAAACAATGGCTTAATCAATGAGAAAACACTTCTTATTTAGTAAAAACGAACTCTTTGTTGTTTACCAAACAACGGCTTTCTAATTCTGTGCAGTACTTTACAATTTAGGGTGGTTGTTTTAAACAGGTAAGACAAGACTTTTACTAGTTTGTAGATGGGTCTGCCCATCACAAATTGACTGGTTGGTGCACATGAGAATTATCTATAGAGTCTGGGAAGCTGGGGGTGTATCTGGTGTATTCTGAGTCTGATGAGGTAGTTTCCAGGACCGTGTCCAGATTCAGTTTCACAGGGTTAAATGGCTCCCTGACAAAATATTCAGTATTCTTTGGATTTACTCTTGAGTGCTGCTTCCACCTAGTGGAGGCAAACAAATCATGAGAAATGCCTGATTTCTTTTATGAATGAGAGCTAAATATAGCATCTGGATGTTAAAAAAAAAAACTGTAGTGTTTGGCCATGAATTGGTAACTATGAAGATAAATGTTTTATAATAGGTGCTATTATATTCTCTCTTTTGATATGTGTTACATTTTTCATGATAAAATGTTAAAAAACAAGAAAAGAATTTTCTATTAATCAAGAATTACACTAAATGTGGCAGCTAATAAACCTCAATGTTAGGTTTTTATTCTGTTTTTAAGTCACAAGTGTTTTCTGTACCAGGCTTGCTCCTTCAGGTTCCTTCCATACAAGCCATATTTTGCAGCTATGTATCTTAGAATGGCCCTGGATTCTACCAAATTCATTCCATCCATTTCCACCATGGGCACTCGTTCATACATCAGGGTTCCACCTTGAAAAACACAAAAGAAAGCTGGATTATATATTGTTCTTGATAGTGGTAACTGAGTTTTCTTTTCTAAAGATGATACAAAATGGAACTATTATAATAAAATAATTTTTATCAAAATATTTTTAGAGACTAAGTAAAAGGAGAAATATTTATGCATTCACTTATACAAAAACAAAATGTGGAGGGTCAGACACAGTATTGAATATCCTGGAAGACACCAAAAAATATATATATATAAATATATATTATATTAATATTATATATATTATAAATAAATATAAGTATGTGTATACACACACACACACACACACACACACACTTTCTTGCCAAAGATTCCTCTTTAATTCCTTTGTCTCTCTCTTTTTTTTTTTTTTTAAAGAGAGAGTGAGAGAGGAGAGAGAGAGAGAGAATTTTTAATATTTATTTTTTTTTTTTAGTTGTTGGTATGTGGTGCTGAGGATCGAACCCGGGGCGCACGCATGCCAGGCGAGCGCACTACCGCTTGAGCCACATCCCCAGCCCTCTCTCTTTTTTTTAATACTCTTTTTTAGTTATACATGGACACGATTCTTTATTTTGTTTATTTATTTTTATGTGGTGCTGAAGATTGAACCTAGGGCCTTGCACATGCTAGGCAAGCACTCTGCCACTAAGCCACGACCCCAGTCCTCCCTTGTCTCCTTTCCTATGGCCACTCCATTCTTTTTACCTTTGAGCTACCATGATAATACCCTGAGTGTTAACTCAGGCTCCAGATGGGCCATTCTTGTCTATCCCACCTTCTCTGCCTGGTTGTTTTCATGAAGTCATGAGACTATTGAACATATTTCCATCAATCCCTATTAATTATCAGTGAGTAAGCAGAACTATTTAACCACTGTATTACTCTCTGTAATAAAACCAACCAACAAACTAATCATAACTAGGGAGGGCCATGTTTTGATTAAAAAGAATTCTCTCTCTCTCCCTCTCCCTCAACTCTGTGTGTCCATCTGTCTGCATCTCTTCCTCAGATGGGCAACCGTAAGGCTGGCTCTGCACTTTCCCCATCAAACACCTGAAGCTGGGCCAGTTCTCCTTTCCATTATCTGAGGGTCTAACTGGGAAACTGAGCCACGCCAGTTACTTTTGCAGAGAGAATTTAATATAAAGAAGTTAACTAAGTCCTGGAAAACTGAAAAGAAACAAAGGAGCAGTGCAGTATCGTGACGTTGGAAACCGCAAAAAAAGAAGACAAAGTTCAGGGGAAAGAAAAGGAGAGAGCTGGAACTATTAGACTTAGAAGCGTGGAGGCAGGGCTCCTGCTCGTTGCAAGACTCAGGTACTTCCTTCCTTATATAGGAGTAAGATATTGATAGTTACTGTCAGTACGGTTTTTATTTCTCTTATTCAGAGTATTAAACAGAGGGGTGGGGATGGGGGTGGGGAGAGTGATCATAGTAATGGAGACACCATCTCATCTCTTTGATCTAATGTAACATCAAAAGTAATAAGATTTTCATCTCACCTTGAATTAACTTTTCAAATTCTTCACGTGTTTCAAAGAATTTTTCTTCAAACTAAGGAACAAACAAACAAAAAGAATGTAAGAATACATTGTTATTAGTGTTTTTATTATTATTACTCTTGATACCATGGGAAAAAGTTACATGGAAGTCAAAGGATTAGGTATGAAGTGACCCCCAAAACTCATGTGTTGAGGCTCTTTCACCAGTGAACAATGTTCAGAGGTGGGGCTTTTGAGAAGTGATAGGATCACAAGGGCTCTGATCTCATCAGTGGATTAATCCATTTGATGTTTGATAGCTGATATTTGATGATAGAATAGATTACTAGGAGGGAGAACCTAGTTGGAGGAAGTAGATCACTGTGGGCTTGCTCTGAAGGGTAGGTAGGGTATTTCTTGTTCCCTGCATGTGCATCTCTTTCTCTCTCTCTCTTTCCTTTTCTGCTTTCCAGATGCCATGAGCTAAGTAGTTTCCCCTGCCATGTCCTTCTGCCATGATGTTTCTGCCTTGGATTCAACTGACCATAGACTGAAACTTCTGAAACCTTGAGCCAAAATAAATCTTTCCACCTTTATGTTGTTTATGTCAGGTATTTTGATCACAGTGATCACAGTGATGAAAAGCTAACAAACACAATGCCTAATTACTGACTAAAGTAATGTTTTAAGTATACCAAATATGTAGTTCCTTTGTGTCACTCCTGAATCCTTTAACAATATGAAACTGAAGTGTCAGACCACCTCATTTCTACACCTCAAAGACCAGCATTAACTTTAACTCTAATCCAAGAGCAGGAAACACAGCAGTCTCCAGGGAATTCTGCTATTTTTATAAGACAACAAAGACTGTAATCCCAGTGGATCAGGAAGCTGAGGCAGGAGGATCTCAAGTTCAAAGTAAGCCTCAGCAACTTAGAGTCCTTGTCTCAAAATAAAAAAATCGAAAGGACTGAAGATGTGATTCTGTGGTTAGTGCCCCTGGGTTCAATCTCTGGTGCAAAAAAAAAAAAAAGATGTAAGAGTTCTTACTCATTTAAAATATTATCAATATTATTGTATAAATTATAGAACTCTTCATAGAAAAATCAGAAAATAAAGATATGCTAAAAAAATTGTAAGTCATCCTCATTGGGCTCTCCTCTAGAAATGAGCAGGTATTCAGTAGACATGTTCTTTTCCTATGGCTAAGTCAGCACAAATATGGCATTCAAAAGGTGGAAGTTGGACCCTTGCTACACATTTAAAAGAATCTTTGTGCAGGGATAGAGTGTGTAATATGTATGTGTGAGGGGTCTCTTTTCTCTTAGTCCTTTGATTTGATAAATTTTCTTCTGCTTGATGATCCCCAGTACTAAGTATTAAGTACTATCTTACCATCACCTTCTATTCTTGGTTCAGATAGTTGGTGGTGTTCTCTCTTTTATATTTTCATCAGTAAAAAGAACCATGAATGAAAAGCCAAAAGAAAAACACACACAACAACAACAACAACAAAACAAAACAAAACAAAACAAAAACAAAAACAAGCTCTGCTGACAGCTGGCATAATATTGGAGCTCTTCTTCTCCAAGTTTTCATTTGATGCTTAGGAAGCCCAGAGAGGCCAAGTGACTTGCCTGAAGTCCCTCGGCTAAAGGATAGAAGAACCAGGGCTGGGTTCCCTTCATTCCAAGGGAAAAGGTTTCCACTACATTTCCAGATATTATTAGCTTGGTAACTGTGTTGTCTTTATTTAAATAATCATTTCAATTTGAAGCCATATTCCACACTTGATACCAAGTATGGGAGTACAGAGAAGGACAATCAAGGTATAAAGCAAAGCTTTCTTTCTTCCTTTTATTTTTATTTATTTATTTTTGTGGTGGTTGGGGGGTGTTACTGAGAATTGAACCCATGGATGCCTTACCCCTGTGCTACATTCCCATCCCTTTTTATTTTTTATTTTGAGTTTTTCCTCCTGAACTTTTTTTTTTTTTTAATGATTTTGTACTTTGCATAAAGGCTGAGTGAGAGTCTGTGTTGGGCACTGTGGGGTTTCCAAAGATAAGTGAAGCATAGCTATTTTAGCAAACTKGTATATACAAGAGCATGCTTAAGCTTTTGAAAATTCACTGTGACTCATAATGACAAGGAAAAGTTGGGAAAAGAAGATGGATACTGACTGTAGAATTGCCTTCTAATTCTGACAAGTTATGATGTTATCAACATGAATCTAAAACTCTGGGAGGAATCAGAAGGCCCAAGATAGAGATTCATGAGGCTCAGAGAGAAAGACTGATCTATTACTGTTTTGTAAAAATTAGGCCTTTAGAAGGAAAAATGAGAAGTTTAAGTTTTTTTAAAAAACATTCCAACTTCTTTGGAATGTTTTTGATAGGTAACCCTTGTCTCCTGTGCATGTTTTATGATGCCATATTCTTTCTTCTTGAATGTTAAAAGTATTTACTGACCATATCCTTTGTTCTTATAAATACCATAGTATTATAAAGCAACAATACGAAAAATTGAGATTAAAAAAAAGATATAAAAGAATGACCTGTGTCTCTCTCTTTCATCTTCAACATCTATCATCTGTCATTTATCCAACTGAGTTTAAAGAGAAAAATAAAGAATGATACACAGAAGGAGCCATGTAAGTAAATTTTTTCCCCAAAGTGCACAAGTCAAATTTTGGCAAATACAGATAAAAATGCAAAAATATAAAAGCTAGACTTGCTAGATACAGGTTATTCAAGCAGACCGGAAGATGATGGTCCAACTGAATTTTAGCTTTATCTGTTAATGTTTTATTTTTAACAGAAGACTATCTGACTATATTAAGTGAATTAGGACTAAATTTTARCAATTGTTCATCTCAGGTAGCAGGGTCATGTTCATTTACAATATTCTTTGTACATGCTTAACCTTCTAACTTGATTTAAAATTAAAAAAAAATCCAGATACAACTTTAGGAAAAATGAAACTTCCACAGATATTTTGTTGTTGTTGCTTTATTCAAGCACTTCTGGAAGACATAATGTGGTACATTTCACAAAATATTCCAATTTAAACCATGTTCTGAGATGCATTCATATAAGGTATTTTCATTTCTGGAGAGCAGATGAACGTAAGACCTCTGTTAGATCTCAGACAGCATATAAACTATCCTAGTGAATGTCAAGTCACCAGTATTGTTTGCTAATTTTTCACTAAGTCACCATGGGACAGACCATAAGTTCAAAGAAAACTTGTTCCTTTATCTAAGAGACCATTTAAGAGTAACTGAAAAATACTTTTTGTATGGATTCCAGAAGAGGCAAATTGCTTTATATTCAGAATGTGCTAGAGGCACAAAGATTTATTTGGAAAGCTCTTTATAAACTTTAATAAACTACTTTTAAAATGTATTGAGAAATTTTTAATAATTAAAAAATTCATTGATGTGTAGGACAGCTATAATTTTAGTGGTAAACGATAATGTTATGTCAGTACTGTTCTGTGCTTTTAAAGAAAAGTACTATTCTCTTAATAGTCTTGATTCAAATGTAGTTAAATGAATGCCATACTTGGCTGGTAAGAATGGAATCAGAAGCTATGAAGCAAAATGAGTCTCTTCCTTTCTTTCCTCTGTGCCTCCCTCCTTCATTCCTTCCTCCCACACCCTTCCTTCTTCTTTTTTTGTTAATTATTATAGAACACTGTAACATCTTGGATATGTTTAGTATTAACAATTACTACAGTATTTAGGCACTTAATTAAAAGGACTAATTAGTTCTTTCACAGCCAACATTTAAAGAGCATGTGGTAATAGCTGCTTTTTGTTTTCTAGCTGGTGCAGTAGAGTAGGCCTGTAATCCCAGCAACTCAGGAGGCTGAGGCAGGTGGATTGAAAGTTTGAGGCCAGCCTCAGCAATTAGCGAGGGCCCAAGTAACTTATCGAGACCCTGTCTCAATATAAAAAGAGTTGGGGATACAACTCAGTGGTGAAGCACTTCTGAGTTCAACCCCAGTGCAAAAATTTTCAAAAGTAGTTTTCTATAACTTTCCTGAAATAAGTGTTTAATGATCTGCAGACAAAAACAATAGCAGTCCACCCAGCCACCTTACCTCCACTCCTGCTGCAGCCAAAAGCCATCGGATGGACTCCATTCTGCCCCTGCCATTGAAGTAGTGAAGCACAGGCTTCCCCGCCATGACTAAGAATCCCTGAAAATCAAGAGGGAACAACTGAGATTTGTTCACAAAGAGAAACAGAAACTTATAGAGCATCACAAAATTCATCAGAAAGATATGGGCTTGCAACTTATGCCCCAGACCCAAGCGGATCTTAGCTCCAAGACTGCCTGTAATGTAGGTTCCTTCCTCACGAGTGGAGCCTGTCTTCTGAAACTGGTGCTCTAGATTTTTAAAAATTAATTTAATAACTGACTTAAAAAATAGAAAGAAGATAAGTGTAAGCAAGTCAGATAGAAGGAAGGAATTCAGGACTAAGGCTAACCTGTTTTTCTTCTTGTGCAGGTGACAAGATTTTAGCATTTTAATCTTTCCTCTCCCTCTTTTTTATACAGCTCCTCCTCCCTCCTCCTGCCAGGACAAGCCTAGGCTGGAGAAACTGAGTGAGAATGGAGAACTGAGAAGGAAGCTAGCATTTTTCACTTTCCAAAGTCATCTTGACATATTAGTCACAGCATACTCTGGAGCCAAGAGCAGCATGCAAGAGGGTTTTTGACAATTGGGATTTTAAGCAAAAGTACAGTTAGGCAAAGGGTGACTTTTCTCACCTTAACATTTTTTTCCCTTTGGAAAAAAATATTTTTAAGAAATAACAACTCATACTCATTTTGAAGAAATTGAAATAATGCAGAAGTATAGAAATTAAATGCCCATCCTCACACCATCCCAAGAAAGCCTATGTGGCTTGAGGGATGTGAGAGTTTGGCTTGATGGGGTGACAGGTTCTGAACATTCAAAGGTTGCAAGGGGGAGCTGTGGGGAGGAGGAGAGTGGCTTTAGGAATGGGAGGGTCTCCGTGGTATAAGGGGGAGCTGATTTATTTTGTAGCATGTCAATTGGCTCACTTTCAAAACTGGCCCCTCTACACATGAAGAACTCAGCAAAACAAATGAGGAAAGGATAGATTGCGGAAATAACTATCTTGAAACTCAGAATGAAAAAAGTTGATCTACCAAATTACATTGCTGTATTGTGTGCATGTGTGAGAATGCAACAACAAATCCCACTATTATGGACAACTATAGTGCACCAATAAAAATATGGGAAAAAATAAAATTCTATTTTCTATTTATTAAAAAGAAAGTTGGTCTAGGCCAGTGGATTTCCAATCCTACYTGCTGTCTGTTAGAATCATCTGAGGGACTTAAAACATGCCACAATTCCCTTCTCAATTTTTGCTGGTTTAAATTTGAATCTCTGGACTGGAGATCCAACATGGCGGCGGGCGCAGAGAGATCAAGTCTCTGACCTCTTCAGCTGCTTGGGCATAGGGAGTCTTAAACCGTCTAAATGCTGTTTKCTCAGGATCACTAGCCAATGCTGAGCTGACGTGGATCTGGGGCGAACAGTCTGGGCCTCTCAGAACACACACCGAGCCCGGATCGACTGAATTCAAGCTCCCGTTCTCCTACGTCTCGCAGACAAACCACTGTGACTCAGCACTAAACAATCCCACTGAAACAACTGGTCGGCCTTTCTGAACCTGCAGAGGTTAATACCAACCGAGCCTTCATAGGCAGTGGCCACAGGATTGAGACAGGGCTTGGGAGAGCCAGTCAGGACACACCGGTTGCATTGGTCACCCGGCAAAGGGAATGAACTGTCGTCATTTGCATGGGATACCACCATGGCAGAGAACTGACGTCACCAGAATGCGGTGGAGGAGATAACTTCATTGAAACTGGCGGTGAAAGGTGTGTAACCCTAGCCCTCCCTCTCCACACAGTGGGGAAACCTTAAGGGCCCCTCCCAGCTCTCCCGTGAGCGCGATAGTCAGACTGAGGGAATGAGGAGTGGCGCGGGACCCTCGGCGTGGAACCCCCAGCTACCACTCCTCAGTGCTGACAACTGAGGTCTCTTGAACCAGCTACCGGGGGCATGGCTACCGGAGGGCAAGCAAAATACACTGAGAGTTCTCAGCCCCAAGCTCCACAAACTTAGGGTCTGAGGGAATGGCAAACAGGGAGAGTGTGCCCAGTGGTTCAAGAAAATAGGGCTCTCGGGAGCATCAGACCTGGCGTGTAGCCAGTATTGTGGTTAGCGTCACCAGTGAGCAGGGCCTGGCTTGAGGAAAAGTGGGGAAGTGACTAGACTCAAGAAAACGCCCTAGGCACTCAGGATTGGAGACCTGCCCAGTCTGGGAGGAGGAGCTGCTGCACAGTGATTGGTTCCCGTGTATTGAGAGGAGAAGCTCAGCCCTGTGGGCACAGCTCCACCTACTGGAAGAGAAGTTAATCAAACTCTAAGACTGCATTTATTAATTTTTTTTTATTATTTGTTGTTTTTTTCATTTTCATTTTTTCATTTTTTAAATATTTTTTATTATTTTTTTATTTTTATTTTGATTATTTTAAAATTTTTTTTCTTATTTATTTATTTTCTATTTTTTTCTTTTCTCTTTTCATTTCTTTTCAATTTCCTTATTCCCCTTCCTTGAATTCTACCTGCTTACTCTAATTCTCTTTAATGACTTCTTCCCTTCCCTTCTAATACCTTTCCTCCCAAGCATCAAATAAATTTATARGAGTAAACAGTAACTCAGCAGTCAAACAGAACAAGAAGTAACAATAGCAGCATGAAAAAGCAAGGAAGAAAAGAAGTACAAACAATGCAGGACAGCCTA